GGGTTGATAATTGAGTCGAGTTATTTGGATTCGACTCAAATAAGATTCGATACATGAACTGAGTTTAAACAATNTGCAGATAATGGTCGAGAGAGAAAGATTATAAAATTTGTAAGACACACATAGATAGGGTTGATAATTGAGTTGAGTTATTTGGATTCGACTCAAATAAGATTCGATACATGAACTGAGTTTAAACAATTTTGTATGTTTATTTANAGGTTCAACTTGACAGAATAAACCAAAATGTTTTTAGAATTCACAAAACTCATGAAATAATTGATAGTAATAAACGAGTCAATAAACTTGACTGACTCCAATAAATTTTTTTTATACATCAACATCCTTATATTTAAAATCACATATTTATATTGAACAATCATAATCGGGTGATATCAACCTTGGACTTGTAAATAACATCTTACAATACATGAATAATTATTTGTCAAAAGAATCTTTTAACGTATATTCACAATTATTCAAAGTTGATCTTGGATGTCCAAAATGAGTATGCCAAAACTTAAAAAAAAAAATTGGGTCATAGCACTTCAGGTGCATCATAATATATAGTTCAATTATTTTTCAGGTCATAAAATATGACCCCGTATAAAAACCAAGAACTTTCTCTAGCACAAGCTTTTGGCTTGAAATAATTAAAGGGATAATGTGATATTCATTATCCAAGAATAAAATAAAATATAAATCCAAAAAATCCAAAAGAATATATCAAGTACAAGATACAACGTAATGTAAAGTAATTAATTTTTTAAGAACTATTTGGAGTTGATCTTCAAGATCAATCTATTTTTTTTCATGACTGTTTAAACATATTCTTTTTAGGGAATGATGTACATCCGGTCATATGAGATTAACAATTTTTGTCAAAAGCATAAAATTATTATTTAGTTTCAAACCACATAATATCAATCAATTATGGATCTACCCTCCTTATGTGCTACTATAGGAGCATATTCGAATCATGAAATGTGATCAATTATTTTGCGAGTATATATTTTTTCGGGAATTTTTTCCATAATTTAAAGTATGTTTGGATTTTGTAACCTTTGGTGCATCAAACATTTTGGAGGATTAGTATCTTCAGGAACTCATATCTCTTCAATTGGTACGTGGGTATTTTACCACAAAATAATCAAATTTATTCTTCAAGAATATGGTGGTGAAGGATAATGATTGTATTTGTGCGATTTTTTAGGGATGCTTAATTTCCTTTCTCAATTGTATCTTTAGGAACCATCGTATCAAACAAGCACTAATTTATACTTTTTAATACATGATTCATTTTGTTTCGGACAATGAATTTATCATTACTTATGGCAATGGATTCATTCTGCTTTTGGTAGTGAATAATTGTTGCTTCTCACAACCAATTCATTATGGTTTTGCCAATACATATAATTTCTAAAATTTATAGCATCAATGTGAATCTCTTCAAGGATCCAAGAAAAATATAACTCGAAATATAAAATATAACAATTCTATAAGAGAATTATATAAGTATAATCAACAACAATCTATTCATTATAAATAGTAATGCAAATTATATATCCTACAAGAATAAACAACACCTACTTGATTGAATATGTAATTGTTAGAAATCTATACTATTAATAAAAATACCTTACATGAAATTTTTTTGATTTACTATTTTACCCTTACACAAAATTATAAAAATTAACATGTCATTTTATATTTAAATATGCAAGTTACCATTATATTCCTCTATATTTAAATAACAAACAAACCTATAACATGTTATCTAAATCTCTATATTTGTGAAATTTTTAGATGGTCATGTTACTCTTAATATGAAATATAAAAACATTATTCTTTTTTCTCAAAACTCAAATATTAATACATTGACAACTTCATTGATACAATATTGTCTCTAGTGTCAAAAAATTAATAAATATATCTTTTTCTCTTTATTCACAATACAAACAATTTAAGTATGATAAATATGAGATTATATCTAATTTAACTATGTAATTAAATATTTATGTATTTTATCAAATATTTTAAAGAAAACTTTTACGTGCAACGCACGTGTTGCATTGCTAATAATATAAGAAGAAACAACACCAAGTTTTATAGAGCAATGACCTTTTGTATGGATTTTCTAAATTGAACCAAAAACTCATAAATAATAGTGGACTTGGGCACAATGCCATCTATATGATTATATAACTAACAGGTTTCATAGGAAAATATTTAACAAATCTTCCCTACTCAAATAATAGCATTTTATAGATTTGAAATATTTAAATGGCCCCCACTAGTTAAACTCTTCTAGGCCATTCCTTATTTATTTATTTTTTTTGGTTAACAACCCCACATTTGGATTTTTAATAACTACTCCAGATTTAAGTTTTTTTGAGAAATTAATTTCATGCATTAATTTATAAATTTTCAATAACGTTGGGTAGGAGTGAAGGTAGGTAGCATTACAGATAATGGTCGAGAGAGAAAGATTATAAAATTTGTAAGACACACATAGATAGGGTTGATAATTGAGTCGAGTTATTTGGATTCGACTCAAATAAGATTCGATACATGAACTGAGTTTAAACAATTTTGTATGTTTATTTAGAAAAAGAGCCTAAAAAATTCGATTCGAATTCTTGTAAAATTCTATTCAAATTCTTGTAAAGTTCGATTTGTTTATATATAAAATTGTAGTCGAATTACTCGGGTTTCACATGTTTTTTAAATAAGTCAACCTTGAATAATTTTTTAAATTTTTGTAAAAAAATTTAACCCCATAAACCCGATTCAATTATCAAACTATCCGTACCGGGCGTTTAGTTATTTTGTAAACTCCCGGTTCGAAAAGGCTCCAAACTATTTATTAGTTCACAGCTCAGTAGAAAAGCATGCCCATGAACGGAGGCATTCCTGTCAATTCAATTACAGAATGGCAATTCAAGACATTCAAGAACAAACCCAGGGCTAATTCAGTAAAATTACATCTCAAAAGAAGTAGCTAGGTCCGCTTATAACTCTAGGTTTTCCTCTGGCTCTCACACAGTGTGTCATCATCGTCACATATCTGTGGAGGAGCAGCACCAGAAGCTGCACCGTCTATTTGGTAATACTTAGGGTTAGGGTTTTTTTTTTCCTGTGAATAACACACATCGATACACATATCTATGTATTTTCTCTGATCTTAAGTTCGTTTTTTCGATATCCTATGTACTGTGTTACTGAATATTCGAATTTGTTGTTCAATGCGTGATATTGTGCTTGTGTCGCTGATGAACATTATTCTTATGCTATTTTCGTTTAATCGGTTTCCTTTTTGATGTTACTTTTTATGTCATGTTTATGAAAATTTACTTTGGGTTTAGGGTTTATTGTGAAACCTTTTGTTAAACAGGCATATGTATGTGTATTTATGCATGACTGTTTATTTTGTTTATTGATTAATTCGATTTTTTTTAAATATTATGTAATGTGATGTAGTGTATACTATGTACATATATGCGTAGTTATTGCAAGAAAGAGTTTTTTTGGTGATGGGTACGTGGGAGGAGTGAATTCTCTGTTTTCTGATCCAGATCCCCTTGTCAGCTTGTGGGGTTAATGAAATTAAGAAATGATTATGGGTTTGAATAGTTAAGTGAAGAGCCATGATTGTCACAGTATTTTTAGTTTTTTTCACTGCATGGCGTGGTTCTGGATGCTCTTGTTTATGTTTTTCTATTGGCACCTATTGTGTGGGACGAACTAGAGTTTAGTTAAACTGCATGAATGTTCACTAAGTAAAGCTACCCTGGAAATGGCATGTGTCAAGAGGGATTTATGTGCCACGATAACATACTGGTTTTTTGTGGTCAATGAAATGTAAACTAAGTTATAAATTTGTGCTGTAACACCAAGAAGGTAAAAAAGAGAGGTTGCAACTCGAGGAAGAATGTTTGTATAATAGACAATTGAATTTTTGCTTTGTAATAGAAAGTGGGAAAAGTCCTATAAAAAATAGAAACTGGTAAAAGAAAAAGATTACAGAAGTTGAGTTTTTGTCAGTGATCATCAAGTTTGGTTAGATGTTCCATCCATGTAAATGCTGTGATGTGTATTTGGTTGGCCTAATCAGACTTGTGGAGAGATTTGTCATTTTTGAAAGTTTGAAGTGAGTTGCACATAGTTCACCTATAAGCTATCCTTAGATGAAAGGGAGGTATGCTTATGATGCAGTGATAAACAAAGATCTATAGTACCCTGCAAGAACTCTTTTTTTTTTTTTGGGAAAATTTTAAGGCTTCATACATTATGGTATTCATTTCTTTGAAGTGCATAACTCCATCAGCGTAGTCTCTCACATATGAGGGCACTTAGATAGGTGGTGGGTATTGGGTGGTACATGAAAAGGTGGAATTATATGAATTGGAGCTCAAGAAGTTAGAGGTAATACTACTTAACACATTGGACCTTAATGAACTAGTCCGTGGAGAGCACTTATTGCATCAGATTGTTTTTATCTGGTCAGGCAGTGAAAAAGAACGAGCTTGATGTGGAAAGGGATAAAAATGATTCCTAGAGTTATGCCTTGGATAAGGCAGAAGTCGGAATGGTAATGTTGGGATTTGCAAAGTCCATCACTTGACTGGAACACATGCCTTGATAACTTGAGTTTGTGCAAGTTGCGTTTAAGAGAGTTTTCTTGTTGCTTTCTTGAAAACCAGGACCATTTTCTCTTCTTTGCCTGTTTGGCATTGTGGGTGTGTATCCTGGGGCCGCTTTTATGGACAGTTGTACCATAGTCCATATGGACATGACACTAATTAATGTGTTGTGCCAGATTGTTCACAGAGATAATTCTACAGCTCTGCTGGATTGTTTTGTATTGCTGCTGCTTTCCTCAATTTGTTAAAATTTATTGGCATGATTTTATTAGTTTATGTGCCCATGACAAGTAGTGGTATTCTTGCTTCATCAGATTATCGGTGATGCTGGCTTGATTTCTGGAATATAAAAAAGGAATGAGTAAGAAGAATCCATTGGTTTTCTTGGACGTGTCCATTGATGGAGATCCCGTGGAAAGAATGGTTTTTGAGGTATCGTAATATTTTGATTGATGACTCGAGTACTAAATGAGATTTTTTTTTGGTATGGATAATTGATATCTGATTTTTGTTGTTCACTCCTAAAGCCAGCCATGTTTCTACTCTTTCTTGTCCACTATCATATTACTTCCTTCCTCAATGCAAATGTGTACTGTTTATATTTTGCCTTGCAGCTTTTCTCTGATGTTGTTCCCAAGACTGCCGAAAATTTTCGTGCTCTCTGTACAGGTAATATGTTTGTTTGCAATTGATTGTGGGTAGTTGTAATTTTCTCCAGTAATTTTACCCATCTTTTTTGGTTCAGTAGTTCTTATGTAGCTCCATGTTGTATTCCCACAATGGTTCAAAAAGCTCTCTATAAATATTCCTAACTGTGTATCCGGGGGGAGCTGTTGCACACTATTAGTATCCGTAAACATGGCTACTGATCATGCTATGTAAATTTACATGTTTACTTTTGCTTATTTTTCCCCTTCTTTTTAGATGCTTACTCCTATTGTTGACTGGAGTAAATCGTTAATTCTGTTTCCATTTTTTGCATAATTATTAACCTCCAGGGGAGAAGGGAAACAGTAAAAAAACTGGAAGACCTCTACACTACAAAGGAACTTTTTTCCACAGCATTATCAAAGGATCCATGGCTCAGGTATTTTCTTCATTTCTTTATTTGTTTTTATCTTTTCCTCAGCATATGGATTGAACGGCTCATTCCCTCTGTGCTTAGTTTCTCGTTGAGAATGACTTAGAAGTGGTCTTCGTCTTTTAGTCAGCTACCCTTTTTTATAATGTAGGATACAGGGATGATTGTCACGACTGCTTTTCTTGTGATTATTTTAAGGTTGTACTTACCGAGTTATTCTCAAAAAATTACTAAATATACTCTGCCCACTGCCCAGTATTGCAGCAATTTCCTATACCGATTACAAGATGCTTAACAGCTTGTACTCATTTTGCAGGGTGGCGATTTTCTTAGACGAGAGGGTATGTATTCTTTGGCAATCATTTGCATTCATGTACTATACCCTCTATTATTTTCATGATCCTCCTATCATTTGCATTTGCAAACTATGCTGCTTATTTCATGTAGTGTATGCCATAGATGCTAAAAAGCATCAATTTAGTGAGCGAGGTTTGTATTTTCTTTTTCAAATGGTGAAATATGTACCTTCTATAAATACATTAGTCATGTCTGGCCTACATCCTCACCATTCAAAATGGAATTGGAGGATCCTCAAACTATTAGGAAATTGGAGAGGAGCTAACCCTGTAGCAAAATCTCCATCCCACCCCCCAAAAGGAAAGGAATTAAGTACCACAAACCCACAATTTATTACCTCTAAATCATTGGATTATGTTTTATTGAAAAAAGTGCTTTTAGCTAGTGGTTGGTCCTGGGCATTTTGGATCTAAAATCTGTCATATTTTTGCCCAAAGCGGCTATTGGCCTTCCACCTGCTGTCTCATGTTTGGCAGCCAAGCATTTTAATCAACAGCACCTCAGATTGATGTTTTTTGCCTGATAAGAGTCCATACAGTTTATTCTTTGACTTGAAATAGGACCAGCTGTCAACCCAAGGTTAGAAAAATCGTTTCTGACAGTATATGCCGAGTAAAATCATGAATTGAGCTTTTGCAATGATCGAAGAGGACGCAAGACTATAGATGTTGCAGGCTTGCAGCAGTTCTTTCATTTTTACACATGCTTTGGGAATAGCTGATGGCATAACTACCTGCAGTAAATAGATTAATATGTTGACCTCAAAAGTTTAATGACTACAATTGCATATAATTAGTACAGTTGTTGAAACTAGGTGGGCTGAGTAACCTGATCATGTTTGGTTCAGATTGCAGTATTTTCAATATATAGGTTTAGGGACCAAATCAACTGCTTTTATGGTTGTTGAGGTTCTTCTTTTACTGACTTCTATTTTCTTTTTTGCAGGGGCTTATGGAGAAAGCATATATGGTGGAAGGTTTCCAGGTGAGAGCATGTTCACGTGATTGTTCCTTTTTATGTGGATTATGTAGAAAATCTTGATGGCCTTTTTGGTGATGCATAACTCAAGTAGTCGATGGACTAAACCTGCTTGATAATATTAGGAGTGTGTGACTTGGATAGTGATTACATTAATTGCACACATACACACACACATTCATTAATATTTTTCCTGCAAATCATTTGTATCTTGAGAGCAAATGGGTTTCCTTTTGCATTGCCTGTGAAGGTGGGGGCTGACTTTGATCTTATGTCGCTGTGGGAGCTTCAGTCCAATGAAATTGCACAGTTGTAATTCTATCTCTTAAATGGTAGGGTATATGAATGTTACGTCTACTTGTGTATATGCAACTCTTTGGTTTCTGGATTGGTAACCTTACATGTGTTTGACATGCAGCCAGATTTTTTTTTGATTTTGCTTCTATTCCCTTATTTAATTGCTGGTTTAGTTTTGTTTATTTTAATATGTAGTGGATTTGGAGATGAGAGAGAAAAAGTAATGGTGGAGGTAAGATTGTTATGTTTGTTCACTATTTCAAGGCAAGAGAAGTTTCTTCTTGCAGTTGGATTGAATATGGAAGTATAGTGACACTTTTTTTTTTGGTGTGTTTCTAGTTTAGTAAAGTTATGCTTAAATGGTGAACTTTGGCTGAAGGTAGTGGGTATAACCAGCCCCAACTATTTGAGCTTATGCAGCTATATTATCTATACATATTTGATTTTCTTCTTGGCTGAGCTTGCTTATGTGCATTCATGTGAATTGATTAAAGGTTGCTGTTTGATAGCTCTGCTATGGTGTACCAATTAAATGCTTGGCCTAATGTGATGATCACCGAGTGGTAAATGTCAACCATTCTCCTAAAGAAAGATCATGCTATTTCAATTTGTACTCTTTGACTGGATTAGAAATCTGTCTACATCGTATAGGGTACGATCTCATTTGGCTCGTTCCTTCTGTGTAAGGCTAGACTTGGGAGACTTTCTTTTTGTGTGAAAACTGAAGTTGTCTTGGGTCTGATGTTTAATCCTTGGTGATGCGGGCACCGTTTCACATCAGTGCTAAAAGTCGTACTTAGGGCACAATGCTCTCACATATAGTTGTATCTGGAAAAGGTATATTGTAGACAACTTTACCCCCATAATGTTAGTCAACGAGTCACCGTAACACCATCTTTGCTCCTCTGATTTGCTGCTGGTCCCATCAATTCCCACCCCCTTTGCTTAACATCACACAGCTGAACCGCATTTCTGTTGTCGCTGCCATTACTGGCGTTCATATTATTGGGGCTGTGAATATCCTTGCTGCATCAACTGTTCACCAGTCACCACAGCTACCGCCGTTGACATCTTGGGCCACTCCCATTTTCCCACCACATCCACAGCTGGACCAATTTTGTTTTTGTCGCTCTAAAATTTTATTTCTGCAATACACCACAATGTTTGTTTCTTGCTGTCACAATTGTTGCCCCTCTGGTGTTGCTGCAAATGTTTTTTTTCCCTGGGTAAATATCGCTGCAAATGTTTCTGTCACCATATTATTCCGTTGTGCCATCATTACTATTATTAGCACCAACACTTGGACCTTAGCTTCTATGCTGTATTTTTTAACATATTATCTTTTCTTTCCAGTTAGATTATATATATTTTTTAATTTGATTTTGACAGAATTCACTTTCTGTTTTTGAATAGATGGCCCATTTTCTGAAACTTTGTAAAGCAGTTGAAGTGTGCTTCTCATTTAAGAATAAAGTGTGTTCTGTGTGCTGCAATGCTTTTCGTATGCATAGCACCCTGTGTTGCTCATTGTGAAGGTTTCCATTGTTGTGTAGTTGTGAATAACAAGCATTGCACGTGATCTGTGTTACTTAACTGGTGGTTCACGTGACATGTTTCAGATGAGTCGTCCAAGCTAAAGCATGATTGCCCTGGTCTTCTGTCGATGGCAATTGCTGATCGTGATACACGTGGTTCTCTATTTAATATCACTTTCAAGGCTAATCATCATCTTGACAGGTTTATTTAGCTAATTTGAACCATTTTTAAATTAACATGACTTGAATATTTATTATCATTCCAAACATATTCCTAATTATTCTGTATTTTACTTTGCTTTATACATGCACCTTCCTTGAAATTTGTTTTGGTGACATATTCTTAACAGGAAATATGTAGTCTTCGGGAAACTTGTTCAAGGACATGAAGTTTTGAAAAAGATTGAACAAGCCGGCGATGAAGATGGGCGACCAGCAGTAACTGTGAAGATAATTTATTGTGGTGAAATTGGTGAGAGTGAGAATCAGAATGCTGCTGTGTTGGAGAATGGTATTGTACCATTGTGAAATATTATTTTGCAAATTACTATGTTATGGAGTCTTTTCAATTTTTTTCAAGCTTGAGATGAATCTTTTATGTTATTTTGTATATTCTTTGTTAATGTTTTTTGTTTTCTATATGTAGAGAAAAAGAAAGTGAATAAATTGAAAATGGGGAAGGATGCTTCTTCGGAGGCAAACAGTCAGGAAATACGGCGTAGGGGAAAGCACAAGAAATCTTTAAAAGAGAGAAGGAAAAAGAGAAGAAGATATTACACATCTGAATCAGACAGTTCCTCAGACTCCGAGACTGAAACATCTGAATCTGATAGTGATTCTGACTCATATATATCTTCTTCAACTGACATAAGCTCTTCAAGTGCTGACAAGCGTAGGAAGAGAAAGAGATCTTCTAAGAGAGACAAATATAGGCGTGGGAAAAGGAGGGATAAACGGCGTGAAAAAAAGCGCAAGAGGCGTGATAAGAGATCAAAACGCAGATCAAAAAGGTTGTATCGGCCTAATTGAGTTTTGTACCTTTCTGTTATTTAGTCCCTATATAGTTTGAGATGATTTGTCTATTTTTCTCAGTTTTGTAGCGATTTCCATGATATTAATTAACTATGGAGGATATACTATCTTGAATCCACCTAGTTTGAAAATGTTTGGTTTGACTTGTTGACGTAGTAGGAACCTTTGTTTAGAAATGCATTCATACATTTTGGAGTCCTTTTTTGTGCACGGTTTAACTATTCCCGATCCCCATTAAATGCCTTTTTGTGTGGAAAATAGTTTCCATTTACTTGGTAGATTTGTGTAACCATACCTTGCCAACCATCTAGGTTGTCCGGGATGCAATACAATTACACTACGAGGAATGCTATTGGGACTTAAAAAATTGACCTAATTTGTTAATCTAATGATATGACAGTGATGTGGTCCAACAGTGTTGTGACTGTAACTTTTGGACTTCTGTATTGGGACTCCATTACTTGACACATCATTATTAGCAAATCACACAACAATATGTCAGCAAATCACACAACATTATGTCACAAATCAGGTCTGTTTTTTCAGTCCCAATAGCATTACTCTTACAGTAATATCTTACTGTAAGTATACACATTTAACAGCATGTGGTAAAAAATGACTCATGTAGTCTAGTGAATTCAGCTGTTCGCTCTGTCTCCTTCTGAGGAGAAAAAAGATGGTTTAAAAAGGGAAAAAAGCATCTATCATGCATAAAGTACACGGCACACAAAACTGCATCCCGCTTTGGATCTTCACGTTCTCTTTATGCCGTTTTGTNATTCAGCTGTTCGCTCTGTCTCCTTCTGAGGAGAAAAAAGATGGTTTAAAAAGGGAAAAAAGCATCTATCATGCATAAAGTACATGGCACACAAAACTGCATCCCGCTTTGGATCTTCACGTTCTCTTTATGCCGTTTTGTTTGTCAGTTATGCCTTCTTAAGTGATCTGATAATAATTGAAGTTTTTTTTCACCCGTGGAGGATGTAACTGGCCATGAAGTGAATGCAAGAGATTATGATGTGGACAATCTCCTGATTTTCAATATGAATGCGAGAGTTATGATGCAGATTATCTTCTGGCGGTCAATATAATCTTTATTTCTTCATTTTTATTTTATATGTTTGCCTCTTTTTAATAATTCATTTATTCTTTTTGCATGTGCATGTGTTGTGTCTCCACCCCCCCCTTTCTTCCCGCTACCTCTGGGTTCTGTTGGTTTTTCTTTTGGGGGGTGGGGAGGCTGTTGGGTTATATGGTGGAAGAATTATTGCTTACTTGCTATCTTCTGAAGAAAATATTTAATCTCTTGCTGTTCCAGTGTAAACATTATCTTTGCATATCATGTTGATTTATTGGTTTCTGTAATATTGTTAAAGGGAACTGGATGGGCTCTCTGAGAGTGGAAGTGGAAGTAGCTCTGAAGGTAACACTGGTGATGTTGGAAAGCTAGATTGGAATCCTAAAGCCCTGGCTAAGACAACTGGTATGAGTGAATCAATTTCATTGCGTATCTGGCAAGCTATCTGCTACTTTTGATATATTTTCTGTTGGCCTCCCTCATTCTCTCTCACTGTATGCCTCTGTCTAAGATACTCTATCAAATAATTGTGGGGAAATTCTATTTTCCCTCTTGGGGTTTGGGCCTGCACTGCTTTAACTCATACAGTTCACAGAGCCATCCTATAACAAACAAGAACAAGTTTCTTCTTATCGGAATAGGAATCACGAAAATTTGAAATTAAAAATAAAAGATTAATATAAGCACAAAACTCTTGTGTAGTTTGCGCTAATGTCATATCGTTACAAAGTCCATCCAATTGTGTGACAGATACTCTTTTTGGCGATGTGAACCCTTTTAGTTTCTTATGAATACTGTCTCTCTTTCTACTGTAGTCTGCTCTCTCTCTCCCCCCCTCTCTAAATGTATCTCTTTTTCTCTACTCCTATTATTTGATAAAAACTATTGTTGTAGCCCACCGTCGGCACTTCCAATTCCTTCACCACAACAAATTCACTTGCAACACTGCCAATTCTACAACAACATCAAATTCACTTACACGTCTGCTACAAATCCACCTATACCTTGTAACATGAATCTTGATATAACCTAACACCTTTGTACCCCCAGTCACCACCACCACCCAGTTATTTCAGAAGTATGACTGAACCATCACCTGCACCAACCCTACCACCTCCATCCCACTTACTATCAAAAATCAAACACACACCAGCTTAACTGCACTTTCACCTTCTGCCGTGGCCTCTCCACCCACGACCCACTAGTCATCAACCACGACAATGAAAAAATTCAAACCAACTGCATCTTCACCCATTGTAATTACTACTACACCAACGACTGCCAATCATCAGTTATCCCAATAAAAAACCGAATTCATGAGCTGAACCAAGCAACCTTCGCCATTTATGATGCTTACCATTTCAATTGCAAGTGATCAAGCTGCATCCATTTCTATTACCAAAAATGCCGACACGTTGTGACACTAGAGTTGACGATGATTTTCCCAGTGGTCATCTTCTTGTGCTTTTGAAATTTTGGTTTTCCTATGAGTCATCTTTGAATTTATTGGTTGAAGTTTGATTTGTTTGGTTTAATTGCTTTGTGGATAAATTGTGGTTAGGGGTTTGATTTTGTGACTGGGTGGTGGAATTTTTTTGCTGGGTTGGTCTTGGTGTGGGGTTGTTAGAGGTCCGACATTTTTATGGTGGAGGGAGGGAGGGAGATCGGTCATCTTTTTATCAGTGAAAACCTAACCCAATTGGCTTTGATTTCAACTGGTAGGCTGATTATTTGACCTGAAGCAATTTGAGTTACTAATTGGATACTTAGGTTTACTCGTCGAACCAACATATTGAAGGTGTGGTGATTCCAACACCACCATATACAGCAAAACCAAAGTTTGGGGAAGGTTGATTCCAGAGGTTGTGGGGATGGCATGGGGGGGGACGAGGGTTTGTGGGGTGTGGTTAGAATCAAAGACAAGCGATGTTTTGGCTACAGTCTGTTTGTGAAGGTTTTTGCCATGGTGGGTTGGTCAAGGTGATTTGGCTATATGGGTTTGATAGTGGGTTGTGGCAGTGGTTATGTATGGGGTTCAGCAGTGAGGGTGGTTGGATAGTGTGTTACTAATGGGAGGAGATGGTTTTCATGTATAGTGGAGATGGTTTTCACGTATGGTTGGATGGTACATGGTTTTCATGTATCCGTCTATCACCATATACCAGAGGATGACTGCAATCCATACATGTTTTCCATGCTGCATTCTTTTTTGTCTTTTTAAAACTTGTGGTTCATGACTTCATTCTGACAAACTCTGCAGTTATCACCAAGTGGGGAGAGAGCTGGTGACGGACCAAAATTCCTGACAAACCAAAACACAGCTGCTTTACATAGTAGGATAGATAATGGCATTAGTCCACACTCCCTGGCACCCAAAATTAAGAGGGACCAAACTGGTTCTTGGTTTTTGCACTCACTTTTCATTACTGAATGGTTGCCTGTGATTAATATTGGATATTATCTAGTTAGGTTACTTTCATTCTAAGCAATAATGCATTTGATGGGTGTGGCATAATTTTGAGTACTTTATGACCATCTTAATATCGTACTGGCGAATGCTTATAGGGTTTCAAATATGTGTATTTTTATTAATGATATGTGCAACTGTATGTTGTTAAATTTTTGCAGTTGGAAATCTGTCTCCTGTAGTTCAGGAGAGGGAAGCTGATTCCACTCAACATAAAAAGGGGGAGGTGAGGGATATACTCGACAGGGAAGAGGGTGAATTCCCTAAAGAAAATGGAGAGCACCTGAGCAACGGGATTAACCTGCAAAATGGATCTGACAAGAGTACTGATAGACAACCTGATGTTGTAGATGATCACCCTGGCAAATCTAGGTTTTCTTTCCCTTCTTTTCATTATTTGGTTATTCTTATGCTTTCTGATTCTTCCAGATTGTTATTTAATAGAAGTTGATGAGCAGGAGCCGAAGCGCAAGTCCTAAAAAGACCATGAGTAAGAGTATGAGTATAAGTCCCAAGAAGAGTCTGAGCAACAGCCAGAGTGTGAGCCCCAAACGGAGTGTGAGCAAGAGTGCAAGTATCAGTGGAAGCCCTCCTCTGGTTTCGCGGAGAAGCAGAAGCATCAGCAGAAGTCCAGTTAGAAGTGGGAGCAACAGGAGCCCCGCTAGAAGTGGAAGCAGAAGTCCAGTGAGGGGCAAGAGAGGAAAAAGCATCAACCTGAGCCCAGTGAGAGGCCACCCTCAAAGAAGCTTTAGCAGGAGTCCCACATCATCCCCCCCTCGGAGGAGCCTTAGCCGGAGCCCACCTAGAACCTCATCAAGAAAGTCATCCCGGAAATCGGTGAGCAGAAGCCCTATGAGACCATCTCGAAGAAGCATAAGCAGAAGCCCTGTTAGACTATCTCGAAGAAGCATAAGCAGAAGCCCTGTTAGATCATGTCGAAGAAGCATAAGCAGAAGCTCTGGTAGGGCCCCTTCTAGGAGAACTGCCAGTCAAAGTCCGGTTAGAGCACCAGCAAGGAATAATCGCCGGAGCTATTCAAGGAGTCCTGTAAGTGCTGGACGGAGGGCAAGGTCACCTATTTCTGATCATGCAAAAAGTTCATCGAGAAGTCCTTCGCCAGATGGGTCCTCCAAGCGCATTAGAAGGGGGAGAGGTTTCAGTGAGCGATTCTCTTTTGTACGAAGATACCGGAGCCGTTCTCCTGATCGTTCTCCAGTAAGATCATATCGATATGGTGGTAGAGGTGATCGTGACAGGTAATACACACACCCTGTCAGTCTCTTTACATCATTGTGTTTTTCTTGGGGTTTGTTACTTCCACTGTTAATTTACTGCCACCACTTTTTTTCCATTGCTGCTAGATATTCAACTTACAGGAGATCACCTAGGCGTTACCGGAGCCCAATAAGAGGAAGAACTCCTCCAAGGTCTGTGCTCTTGTAATGAGTTAGACATGATTTATTCTGTTTTACACCATAGTATGAACAAAAATATTAGATGGTTAAATGAGACCTGCTATTGTATTACTTGTGCTATTGTAACATTCGAAAGACACTGTAACACTTGCAGATACAGAAGCAGAAGAAGTAGGACGAGGAGCCATAGTGTCTCACGGAGCCCTATCCGCTATCGCAACCGACGATATAGTCGCAGCCCCATTCGCAGCCGTTCTCCTGTGGATACATCTAGATATCGTGCATCCCCACGTGCTGAGAGACGTAGATCACCTTCCCGTGGCAGGAGCCCATCTAGATCAAGGTCTTCACGTGACTCACAATCTCCTAAGGTGGCAAGCAAAGAGAAGTCACAGTCAAGGTCATCTTCTGGTAGTCCCCTCCCCCCTGGGAAGAAAGGCCTGGTCTCTTATGGAGATGGCTCTCCCGATTCTGGCCAAAGGTAAGAGCATGGTAGTGGTGGTCGTGGTGGTGGTAGTTGGTGGTCTGGATAAGCGTCGATCACTCCTGACAACTGGTGGCTTATGTTTTCCCCAGTGGATGATGAATGATGTTGCTCTGGCAGAGGTAGTGCGGATGTTACAGATGATATTTTACTTCCTTTCGGATGATGGTGTGTTTCGAAGGTGTATGCTTAATAATAGATGTTCTTTGCGTTGCATCCTTGTGCTTGCAGTCATGAATATTCTTGTTATGAAGTTGCTTGGGCCCTTCTTGTAGTTGAAGGTAACTTTGAGCTGAGCGAGCTTGGATTGCATTTAGGAAGCTGGATAATGATTTCTAGATCTGATGAGATTTGAGAAAATTGGTCTGTGTTTGTTATAAACCGGTGATACGATTTAGTAATCACTTTTTGTTAAATTTGTCTTTTGAATTTGCGGTGAAAATGGTGATATTTTTCATCTCTCTTGTCCCGTCCCGTTCCTGTATGAAAACTCTGACCCCCCCCCCCCCCCCCCCCCCCTTTTTTTTTTTTTTCTTTTTTTTTTTTTTTTTTCCTCTTTCTTTTTTTTTTTTT